GAACCACTTTGGACCACTCCCCCACGGCCCATGGGACCTATTCGAATGGCCTCCACCCCTGAGCCATTCCTGAACCATTTCTGAACCACTCCTGACCCATGCTTGAACCACTTTTGAACCACTCCTGAACCACTCCTGAACCACTTTTGAACCACTCTTGAACCACGTTTGAACCGCTCTTGAACCACCTTTGAACCACACCGCCTAGACCCTTGGACCTGATCGGATGGCTGCCCATTCTGAAAAAAAATCTGGACCACTCCTGAACCATCCCCGAACCATTCTTGAACCACGTTTGATCCACTCCTGAACCATTCCTGAACCACTTTTGAACCACTCCTGAACCACTTTTGAACCACTTTTGAACCACTCTTGAACCACTCTTGAACCACTCCTCCACCGCCCCTGAGACAGCCGATAACACGGCGACCACTTCTGAACCAGTCCTGCAACACCCGAACCATTCCCGAACCATTCCTGAACCACTTTTGAACCACCCCTGAACCGTTCCTGAACCACTTTTGAACCACTGTTGAACCACTTTTGAACCACGTTTGAACCACTCTTGAACCACTGTTGGACCACCCCCCCACGACCCAATGAGATCTATTCGAATGGCAACCACTCCTGAGCTATTCCTGAACCATTTCTGAACCACTTCTGAACCATTCCTGGACCACTTTTGAACCACTCCTGAACCACTTTTGATCCATTTTTGAACCACTCCTGAACCACTTTTGAACCACTCCTGAACCACTCTTGAACCACCTTTGAACCACGCCGCCTAGCCCCTCGGACCTGATCGGATGATCGCCCCTCCTGAACCAATCCTGGACCATCCCCGAACCATTCCCGAACCATTATTGAACCACTTTTGAACCACTCCTGAACCATTCCTGAACCACTTTTGAACCACTCCTGAACCACTGTTGAACCACGTTTGAACCACTCTTGAACCACGCTTGAACCACTCCCCCATGACCCATACGACCTGTTCGAAGGGCACCCATTCCTGAACGATCCCAGAACAATTTCTGAATCACTCCTGGACCACTTTTGAACCACTCTTGAACCATGTTTGAACCGCTTTTGAACCACTCCTGAACCACTTTTGAACCACTTTTGAACCACTCTTGAAACTCATTACAACCACTCCTACATGACCCACAAGACCTTTTCGAACAGCGGCCGCTTCTGAACTAGTCCTGCGCCATGTCGGGGCTACTCCTGAACCATTCCTGAACCACTTTTGAACCACTCCTGAACCACTTTTGAACCACGTTTGAACCACTCTTGAACCACTTCTGAACCACTTTTGAACCACTCTTGAACCACCTTTGAACCACGCCGTCTAGCTCCTCGGACCTGATCGGATGGTCGCCCCTTCTGAACCAATTCTGGACCATTCCCGAACCATTCCCGAACCATTCTTGAACCACTTTTGACCCACTCCTGAACCATTCCTGAACCACTTTTAAACCACTCCTGAACCACTTTTGAACCACTCTTGAACCACTATCGTGCAGCGTTTGAACCACTCCTCCACCGCCCCTGGGATAGTCGATAACACGGCGACCACTTCTGAACCAGTCCTGCAACACCCGAACCATTCCCGAACCATTCCTGAACCACTTTTGAACCACCCCTGAACCATTCCTGAACCACTTTTGAACCACCCCTGAACCACGTTTGAACCACGGTTGAACCACTCTTGAACCACTTTTGGACCAGTCCTTCACGACCCATGGGGTCTACCCGAGGGGCAACCACTCCTGAGCCATTCCTGAGCCATTTCTGAACCACCCCTGAACCATTCCTGAACCACTTTTGAACCACTCCTGAACCATTTTTGAACCACACTTGAACCACTTTTGAACCACTGCTGAACCACTCGTGAACCACGTTTGAACCACGTTTGGACCACACTGCCTAGCTCCTTGGACCTGGTCGGATGGTCGCCCCTTCTGAACCAATTCTGGACCATCCCTGAACCATCCCCAAACCAGTCTTGAACCACTCTTGAACCACTCCTGAACCACTCCTGAACCACGTTTGAACCACTCTTGAACCACTTTTGAACCACCTTAGAACCACTCCCTCATGACCCATAGGACCTTTTCGGCGGGCAACCACCCCTGCACCATTCCTGCACCACTTTTGAACCATTCCCGAACCATTCCTGAACCACTTTTGAACCACTCCTGAACCATTCCTGAACCACTTTTGAACCACTTTCGAACCACTTCTGAACCACCGTTGAACCACTCTTGAACCACTTTTGCACGACTCCTCCATGGCCCATGGGATCCATTCGAAGGACAGCCACTCTTAAACCATTCCTGAACCATTTCTGAACCACTCCTGAACCATTCCTGAACCACTTTTGAACCACTCCTGAACCACTTCTGAACCACCCTTGAACCACTTTTGAACCACTTTTGAACCACTCTTGAACCACTTTTTGACCCCACCGCCTAGCTCCTTGGACCTGACCGGATGGCCGCCCCCTCTGAACCAATTATGGGCCATTCCTGAATCATTCCCAACCCAGTCTTGAACCTCTCTTGAACCACTCCTGAACCATTCCTGAACCACTTTTGAACCACTCCTGAACCACTTTTGAACCACGTTTGAACCACGCTTGGGACGCTTTGGCCACTCCTGCACCCCCCCTGAGAACTAATCGGACGGCGACCACTTCCGAACCACTCCTGCACCACTCCTGAACAACCCCTGGACCAGTCCTGAACCACTATTGCAGCACTCCTGAACAGCGTTTGGGCGACTCCTGAACCATTCCTGGGCAGCTGTTGGTCCACCTTTTCGCCGTACCGACGCAAATGTTGAGCCATTCCCTCAGACAGCCATGGTAACCCACCGAAGCCCATCCACGTCTGAACCCAACATGAGGTGCCCATGAACCATTCCTGAACCACCCCTGGAACGCTCCTGAACCACACTGGGTGCACCCGTGAGCAAGCCCTGAACCTTTCATGCGCAATGTATGAACCATGTCCGAACAACTCCTGGGCAACTGCTGAACCAGCCGTGCAAGTGTGCATGGGAGAACCGAGCCGCAACCATTTCGGGCACCGTCATTGGGCCACTCCCGCGCCCCTTCTGAACCGAGCTTGAAACAGTATTGAACCACGGTTGAATCAATCCTGCGCCACTCGCTAACCATATTCAGTCTGAGTCTGGAGCACCCAAAACCACTCCCCCACCACGCTTGGGACACCAATAGGCTGCGTTGGGAACGCGCTGGGCCGTTACACCTCCTGGCCCAAGCCTGGACTACTCCAAGACCACATGCCAGCAAGTCTTGCATCATCATCAAGACACTTGCGGGCAACGTTTCGATCATACATGGCCACCTTGAACCACCTTTGGGTCATTTTTGCATCACGCATGCAGCGCGTCCGAGCCACCCCCACAGGCTTTCATTGTGCTCGCCGATTGACAACCAACCCGTAGACGTCCCTGGGCAACCCCCCGACCACACTTGACCAGCTCCTGATGCACCCCCGAAGCACTTCTGCACCACCCTTGAAACGCTCCCGATCAAGTTCAACACACATTTCTCGACCAGGATCCTTAGCGTTCCTGTTGCGCGCGCAAGTGCAATCACCTCTGGCCGTAGCATGGGCGCCGATTTTCCATTCCTGAAATCAAACTGAGCAGCTCTGAAAGCACAATCGGGCAATTCTCGGATCACTTCTGACATGGTGCCAAATTGACCATGCACAATGTATGTCACTCGTGAACCACTTGTGAACCGCTCCAATAGTCACTCCTGGGACTCATTCATGTAAGCCACTTCTAAACACCGTAAGACACCCTTGAGTTAAGACATTCCTCCCTTGAACAGCCTCTGTATCATATAAAGATCATTATCGCAACGGTGTCGAACCACACAGGTTCCATGTGTAAGCCAAGTTTGAGCCCCTCTGCCGTGATATCACATGCCCACCGAGCTTATATGAGCCCCTGCGCGTTTAACCTTAAGCCCCACCCCCCGCGTGTCCATGTTGAGGCCCCTTGAATGGACCTCAGGCTTTCTGGGGCTTACGCTCGTGCTATGCTGGAATGATATCCGCGCCAGTGCCATTAAACTGGCCATTAGGGGGTATATATTGGGCCCCATCGGGATCACATCAATACAATCTAAGGGATTTGTGTAGTCGGGGTTCTCGTGGTACTCCCGTCGTGCATTCGGGGATATCCCGACGTTCTTCTCCGCCAACACTGCGCTACAACTAAGCAGCCATTGATGCGCGGTTGCTTGTCATGTGTGAAGTGGGGCTCGTTTAAAGAAGAACGGCTATACACTTCGGCCCTTGGGATTTGAGTCAGCCCCTCCCCCCGTCACCCTGCATTGAGTTTTCATTCGCCCCACCCCGCGGGGTTCGAGGTGTGCAATAGACGTAGCATGCATGCGCTGGTCTACCCCCAACCCCGTGCTGCATCCCACCATATCAAAGATGTCCTGGAACCCTCCCTGTCTGAGCAAATGACCAGGTAAAGGTTACGCCTGCTTTTGATGAGGCCACTCAGGTACATTGATGTGGGACAGTGCGCACTCCCTTGAAGCGACCGACGTCGGACCCCGCTTCGCCCCTCCGGCTTTGATTCGGCAAATCGGCGCGCAGCAACCGGTGAGAGAGGCCCTCGGCCAGAGCCGATCTGATTGATTTCGCCCCGTCTGGCCCCACGGCAACCCCGCGCGCAACAGAGGAGTGCCTAGCCGCGGACTTCGACGGCGGACGGTCCGAATAGAGGCAAGTCTGCGTTGCGCTCTCGGCCGCCCCGCTGCCGCGGTCGGTGGCCAGGCCCTCTCCTGTTGCCAGCGGGCTTCCAATCGCTTGTGCTCTCTACAACAGCCCCGAACCCCTCCCTGTGTTTTTCGCTCCACACCGTAACCATTTGGGCTTATACATTCCAGGCGCCCACGTGCACGGGCGATCCCAGTGGGTCATTTTACCGATCGCTCTGCCAGAGGAATGGCTGGAGTGGATGCCGACGCTGATGGGGCAACCTCGGCTTTTGGAGCATCTTCCGCCCATAGCTCCAGGCGGGTGTCGCGCGGCAGAGCAGATGCGAAGCTGACGACGATCACCTGCCACCTCTGTGAACAGGAAGGGCTCTGCTACAAACAATGTTGGGGAGCATGTTTCGACCAGGAGTGCTTCAGCAAAGTGCGAGCCAGACACCGAGCTTTAAAGAAAGAGCAGAAATGCACAGGGAAGGACCTCGTCGCAGAGAACAAGGCGATGATGCTCGAGAAACCTGCCGAATGGCGGAAGGACGAGTTCTTCTCCCCCGATGGCAGCAAGCAGGTGACAGCGCTGCAGAAGCAGAAGGGCCAGGCGTTCAAGGAGCGAGGGTCCCTCAAGCAAGACCTCTACGTGGAAGACGAGAGCTCCTACACCAAGCGGGCCTACAAGGATAAGATGAAGGCGGACAACTCGATGTCGGAGAGCCTCGACAGCGATGACCTGAGCGCCGATTTCGAGCTGCACGAACGTCAACTCACGGAAGGTGAGAAGACAATGGAGAACCGCGCTGGGAGGCAGCTCGTCTGGCTGTGGGACAACCCCAAGGTTCGCCACGCCTCAGGGAAGCAGTCCATCGACGGCGTTCGGGATTGGACAAGCGGCGGCGACGGCCCTGCTGGCAGTCAGGAGGGCCGTCCACCAGCGGCATCTCACTCGGGACGAGCGCCAGCCAGATCCCCCACGAGCGAGCTCGGCGACGGCTCCGACGCCCCCGCTGTCAAGCGCCTCCGCGGCAAGTGCAGCGCGGGCGCCGCGAGGGCGCGGCCAGGCGCGAAGGTGGATGACACGGGCGGCTTGCTGTGCCTCCGCCAGCGCGACGCATTGATCGACACGGCGGGCGAGTACATGCATGAGATCATCGGCTCCAAGGGCTTGCAGAGGGTCGTTGCGACAGTGAGGCAGCTGATCAAAGACAAGGACCTCGACGCCAGCCTGCCCCCTCACGATCCGTCTGATATGGAGAAGGCGATCGGTGATCTGATCAGCGAGATCGAGGAGCTCCAAATGACGGCCAAGAAAGCGAAGAAGCAAGACATCGAACGCGAGCAGGGCAAAGCTGACGATATCAAGGCTAAGATCCTTTCGATCAAGGCCAAAGTAGACGACCTTCACGCCTCAACCACCCACATGCTGCAGGGTGCCCGCCTCAGCGAGCGTTCGAGCAGACAGAAGATCTACTGGAGGCAGGTCTCGATCGAGAACGCACTGTTGGGCGGCAAGTTTGGCAAGCAGCACGCTAAGCACTTGGCCAAGGTGTTGTACTTTTCGACGCGGCGGACGAGACGGTGCAGAACCCAGAGGACGATGAGGAGAACCCTGCGTGGATGCAGATCCAGCGCAACCCAGACGCGCCCAACTTTGCCGCGATGGCGTCGTGGCCCGCTGAGGGCGATCACTCGGGACTCCGTGAAGCAGCAGTGCGCCCAGGACAAGCTTGAGAACATGCGGGGCCACATGAGTCGCAACCCTTCGTGGAGCGGAGCAGTTTCCGCCGTGGACGGGCCAGAGATCAACGAGGCCATGAAGCGGCTCTGCGCCAACGTCGAGCTTGGAGACGGCGGCGGCCCGTGGATGATAGCAGCAAGGGAGCATTGCTGCAGGTTCGGGCCCAAGGCGTTTCCCCTCTTTGGGAGCGCCTGTCTGGTGATCATGCTCGAGAAGACGCTCTACCTACAGCTGACGCCGGTGGAACAGATCTTGGAAAAGGGCTTCTCGGCAATGGAGCACGGCAAGTTCCTTGAGACCCCCGAGGGGGCAGCCCACTTGGCAGAGAAGGTGATCACTTGCAAGTTGTCCAGAGGCGAAGTGTTCTACATCCCGAACGGTTTCCTGACATATGGAGTGCATCGCCCGCAGACCACCGAGAAGGAGGATCAGCCATCCTCAGGAAAGAAAGCAGTAAGGAAGAGTCCGCCTGCGAAGGCCACCGCGAGTAACGAAGTTGCCTACGCTCTGGTGGTTCCACTGATCACCAAGGACGGGCTCGCCGACCTCAACGACCAGACGAAGGCGGCCATCCTGAAGGTCAACGCGGACCACTTCAACTCAAGGCAGTCCGACCCGCAGTGCAAGAGGAGGGAGAGCTGGTTCACCACGCTCTTCCGAGGCACGGGCTAGCGGCTCCTCTGCCAGAGTCCGTGGCCGTGTGCCCAGCACGAGCAACCATCCATCATGCCAGTCATCATATTCATCATCATCATCACGATCATCACTCTCGCCAGCAGTGCAATCGAATAGGCCCCGCTGTCATCATAAGGACGGATCGTTTAGGCTCGTCTGTGTAGTTTGGTGCAGGTATTGCTTGCAATGTTCCAACGTCTCCCCCCTCACTCGACCTACTCCGTTCTCTCGCCATTCGTCATTCGTAATATTTCTGAGTATCGCCAGCCCCAGTGTACTGTACGTCTGCATCCCCTGCAGCCTCGTCATCGTCTGGGCTGCCTCCCCTCGCTCGTGTCATTTCTGAGATTGCCCCTCCTGTGCCCTCCTGCTGCGCACGTGGCTCCGCGCATGCCCTCGCTCCTTCCTCCTTGGTCTCCCCCTCCGCCGATCCTGCTTAGTTTGTTGTTGCGCCGCCGTGCCAAAAAAGGCAAAGGCTAAAACGATGGTACACGGTCATGGCCGTGGGCGCGTCGGGCGCGCCATGAGGATGGCGGCGGCCACTTGTCCTTCGGCATCCGCGCGAGCCGACGGCGCATCGCGAAGTTGCCTTGCTGGGGGGCGGCGTCAGCACCCACTCAGCGACAACATCGCTGAGCGCACCACGCGGCGACGCATGCATGCAAAGCCCAACGGCTCGCCAAAACGGCTGCCAACGCGCGCGCCGCTTCTCAACGGTAGCGCGGGCGTGCGGGTCAATGCTTACTAGCACGCGCCCCCTCAACATGCACCCATCAACACGACGGGTGGCCGCGAGAGCGGCGCGCCGAGTAGCGAGGGGGGCGCCCTTGCCCCCCTTCCATTGCGCTTGAAACAACGCATGCGCGAGTTCACGCCGCGCGCTGGCGGCATGAAACGCGGGACCACGAAGCTGAGCAGCTCATGTTGTATGTTTTTAGGCGCTGGGGATGTCATCTCGGCAAGTCCGATCGCAGCCGCTAGGTTGGGTGAACCGCCGCCCTTTTGCGTGTACCGCGCCGCTGGTCATCTTCATTAGGAACGCGCGTCACGTGATGAGACGGGGTGCGACGTCGAGTCGCGCGCCCGTCTGCGCGGCGGTGGGATGCGTCGATGGGGCGGCGGCTTTATTTTGGCGCGGTGATGGTGCGATGGCGCCGATCAGGACAAACGTCCGAGCGCGCGGTGCCCGCCTATCTCGGGCCCGCGCGCGTCTTGAATTCGCTACTGGGCCCAAGCGACGATGACCGAACGATGAGCGCAATTGGGGTACACGCGCTCGTTCGGATATCTACGGATGCGGGCGAGGCATTGCCCTCGCCCCGTTGCGCCGCCCCGTTCAATGGACCTCCTCCGCGCAGCATGCCGCGCGCGCTGGCGGCGCTCATAGTGCGATGCTTGGGGCGTGCGCGCGCGGTGCATACGCGTGATGCGCCAATGGGGTTTTACCCCGAGATCGGCATGGCTCCCGCGGCGCATTGTTGACCTATGTTGCAACTACATCGGCTGCGTGTCTGGCATGGCCCAGGCTGCTCACTTTTGCCCATCGGCCGAGGTAAGCACCTGGCCGTTGTAGCTCAAACGCGCATGGCCGCAGCATCGATCACACGCTGATGCGCGGCACTGTGGAAACCACGAACGCGCGTGCAACGCTCCATGCCCACACCACAACGTCTGCGCATAAATGCCGCGCGCTTGCTACTCAGAGAAGCGGCAAGGCGCTTGATTCGCGTTCAGCAGGTGGACGTGTGCTGACACGTTGGCGTTGGTGCGGCATGGTTTGGCGTCGTGGGGTGAAGCTGGCGGCGCCGCATGGTCAGCCACATTGGCATTGAAACGTCTATGTGCTGCGTCACGTTGGCCGCGCGAGGCAAGCCCGTGCTGCCTCTGTGGACTTTTCTTAGAAGCTTGTGATCGGTTTTGCTGTTTCCTGCAGGCTTGGGCTGCCGTCTGCACTTTCCTGTAGGTTTGGGCAAAGTTCTGCATCGCGTTCGAGGTTTGGGATCCCGTTCTGCATTTCGGAGGTGAATTGTTCTTTGGAACCTTACTGCCTACGCCCTTACCATCCGGGAATCACTGCGGCAGTTCTAAAACAAACAGACAAACAAAAAAAAAAAAAAACGCTCGCGTTTTGGAAGCAGCCCCACACGCGCGTGGAACGTTCCAGCATAATTGACTGACGATGGAGGCAGAGATAAAATCGTTTGCACGTTTTGAAGCCGAATTGTAGTTATATGTGTTTGGTGCGCGGTATGACAGGCTAACAAAAAAATATCCCGGCAAAGCAACCTAACAACATTGTGTAGAAGCATATCTGAAAGCATCCCCCTTAAGATTCAGATGAAAATCCAGTTGTAGAATTCTGCTGTTCTCGCAGTCGTAGTCGCATTCGCGATGGCAGTCGCAGCGGCAACGGCAGTCGCAGTCACAGCCTCAACCTCAGCCTGCCTCAGCCTCAGCCTCAGCCTCAGCCTGCCTCAGCCTCCTGCCTCAGCCTCAGCCTGCTTCAGCCTCAGCCTCAGTCTGCCTTCAGCCTCGGCCTCAGCCTCAGCCTGCCTCAGCCTCAGCCTGCATCAGCCTCAGCCTCAGCCTCAGCCTGCCTCAGCATCAGCCTGCCTCACCTCAGCCTCAGCCTGCCTCAGCCTCAGCTTCAGTCTGCTTCAGCCTCAGCCTCAGTCTGCCTTCAGCCTCGGCCTCAGCCTGCCTCAGCCTCAGCCTGCCTCGGCCGCAGCATCAGCCTGCCTCAGCATTCAAAATGTGCCCAGGAATGGAGTTCTGGGAACTAGAAGAACACGAAGTGGCCTACAGTTGGCTCCGGGCATTCAAAATGTGGCCCGGGAATGGAGTTCTGGGAACTCGAAGAGCACGAAGTGGCCTACAGTTGGCTCCGGGCATCCAAAATGTGGCCCGGGAATGGAGTTCTGGGAAGTCGAAGAGCACGAAGTGGCCTACAGTTGGCTCCGGGCATCCAAAATGTGGCCCGGGAATGGAGTTCTGGGAAGTCGAAGTGGCCTGCAGTTGGCTCCGGGTATTCAAAATGTGGTTCGGGAATGGAGTTGTGGGAGGTCGAAGAGCACGAAGTGTGTGACTGTTTGCGAAAAACGAGTGCGGCGGCAGCCGCGCCGGGTCCCGCCCCGGGTCCCGCCCCGACCCCGCTGAGGAGTCATGATGTTTTTTTTTGAGACCATTAGAAACCCATCAGCAAAAGCTGTTAGGTAAAAACACATTGCAGCACATGTTCAGCCCGATTCTTGCCCTCACCAGATATTCCCAGATCTCTGGCGAGCTTTGCGATACTTCGGGGGGTAGGGGATCAATAGGGTCTGTGGTTGGAACACGACAGACAGACAGAAGCCATGCGCCAACCTACGGCACGGCGCTTGGCAGAACGAAGCAGACACGCCAAACGCGCGCAGGGCGGCACAGAACATGCCAAACGCATGCAATCATGTGACTGACACGTCAAATGCATGCCGAAGGGGGCGGACGGAGGGAGAGGACGACGAGGCGGGATGATTATGATTATCCCCATGCAACGTACAATCACAAATATTGCAAGTCAGGTTGTTCTTTCTGAAGCAATGTGGATACGCAATTTGCCCAGTGCAGTTTCGGACGCCCCTGTTGCGTGCAAAGTTCCATTTCCTGGGGACGGCTTCCCCCGGCTCGCAAACCAATTGTTTGAACGGGTTGGCTTCTGACACCCCCGCTATTTTGGCATAAGTTTGCATTTTTTTTTCGAGTACGGCGTCGCTGAAAAGCTGCGCCTGCGCCGAAGATAAAACATCTGCATTGGAAACTCTGGAATCATATGCGTGTTGAATTTTCAAGATTTTACGAAAGCACGCCGTTCGAAAACCATCCCATCTGTTTCTGTCCTCATGCAGAAGCTTTGGGACCACGATGGCGTCGAAGAGGCGTAGCTTACGATGTTTGCTGATACCAGTGTGGTTCCAACACGTCCCCAATGTTTTGAAAATCTGTTTCATTTCCCCCAGGCGTCTTGTAACTTCGAATGTGCTTGTGGCACTGCTGTGTAACAGCCCCCCCCAAGTATATGTATTGTTTGTTGTATAGTTTTGAGCGGTTTTGACAAAGGATCGTAAATCGAACCATTCGGGTTGATCTGCATCACAACTGTTTTGTCCCAGTTCGAATCAAGGCCATATGGACTGCCCATTTCAATCGTCAAGTCCATAATCACTTGAAGTTTGAATTGGTTGGCGCTCACAAGCACAGTGTCGATGGCGTACAATAGGTCGCCGCATACTATATTGTCCGGCTCTTGCCGCTCTACGCTCATGCTGGTGTAGGTTTGGTCGACGTCGTAGAACATGACGGTATGGAGGATGATGAAGAGGTATGGTGAGAGAGGGCAACATTGTGCTATGCTTGCCCGTTGTTGTCTAATGATGGAGTCCCCTTTCTGGATATTTCAACAAAAAAGATCGTTTTGATTAGATAGCCACAGTAAGTGTTATCATAGGCTCTGGGACCCCAAACCTCCGCAATGCTTGTAGTAATGCGTCGTGTTTGACTCTGTCGAAAGCTTTTGCCTAATATACAGCTATCAACCCAGGGTGTTGTGTGCAGTGCGCGCCGTCGATCATGCGGCGTGCTATTGAAATAGCGTCGATCGTACTTCGCTTTCGTCTGAAACCAAATTGCGTCGGCCGCATTCTGTTTTCAGCGCCTCCGTGTTCAAGTCGAGCGCCAAGAAGAAATATCTGCCAGTGGCGAGGGCGGCGCTGCCTCTGGCGCATCGTCGTGGAAGGGATGGTGTTGCCTCTGGCGCGTCTGGCAAGGGTGGCGCTGGCGCGGCGCGGAGAAAACGCAGGGCGGTTCAGTCTCGCGAGGGCGTGACCGAGGCGAGAACGAGCCGGACAGCAACCGATTCGGATGAGCAGCCTTTCGCCAAGCATTTTCCTTGCAACAAGGCGTTCTGTATCAGATGCGATTTTCACCGACGGCACAAAACGTACACGGCGCTATCTCTCTTG